CAGCCTCACAGGCTGGTGTAGAACAATCCAAGCGCCTCCAAGATGCTCATCCCTTAGTCAACGCCAAGTGACCCCAGGGTGACTTCCACGTTGGAGGCATGCCACTCACCATGCTCAGTGGGGTTGGCATCTGCACTGCCCACCATCTTGAACATGACATACTGTCATCTGCACTGGCCACCACCAAGCAAATGACAAAGTTGACATCTGCATCAGCTACCATCTTGGACACAGTGCATGAAAATCTGTATTGCCTATCACCTCGGACCTCTGTGGTACCCAGCCTTCTGGCCCATCTCCATCGAGGCCCCCTAGTGTGGTCTAAGGGGCTGCTGCAAGGTGACTGTAGGTCCCAAGCTTGTCCTGCTGTGCATCCAGCAGCACTTCAGGTGCTGCCTGCCCCCATGCAGCCCTCACAGGGACCACTTCCTCTCTCCCTCCAATAGCTGCCCATCAGGGATTCCCAGCACCCTCACCCCTTCCCCAACTTCTCATCAGCCCCTCTTGTCATTGTTAGGCAGGAATTTCCACAGGCCCAGGTCATACCTAATGTGTTCAGTGAATTAGTGATCTTTTATGCACTGGTTATTTTTAAGATAGGGTACAGCAATATGACTGTATAGCAACCCACCTATTTTATGTTTCCCCTCGTAGATGAGAGGATAGGATAGGTACAAATGACAAAGCCCAGCTTCTGTCAGGAAGAAATCTTATGGACTTCTCTGCCTTGGCTGTCTTGGGGCCACAATCTTTCCAATCACAGTCTCTGTTATACCTAGGATTATAGGCAAGATCCACTGGTGCCCAGCTTAGTGCTCATTGATTCTTGATGCCTCTGTCCAGTTGTCAAACATTCCTGCTCCCTCCCTTGTGCTATTTCTTGCACTCATTGACATGTCTGCTGGCCTTTGCAGGTCTGAATGATTTCAGCTACCTTCATACAAACTGCTTTGAGCTGTCCATCTATGTGGGCTGTGATAAATACCCGCATGAGAGCGAGCTGCCTGAAGAGTGGGAGAACAATCGAGAATCTCTGATCGTATTCATGGAACAGGTACGGTGGGTGTGTGATTGAGGAGAGGGAGTAGCTCCAGGCTGAGGCCAAAGTCATGGCATCTACTGAGTGTTTCAAGCCTTAGGCATTGTTGTCCTGGGCCAGCCACAGTGCTACTGGGTACTGATGTCTCTTTACATGCCAGCAAACAGACCCATAGAAGGGTGACACTCCGTGGGTGTCGGCAGGTGCTCCCCAGCTCTGCTGTGTGGGGAGTAGTGATACTGTTGGAGCAAACCTCCCTGGGCCCCTTGACTTAGTTTGCATTTACCACAAGAAAAGACCACAGACAAGAGGCTTAAACAGGCTCTGGATACTGAAGCCAATCATCATGGTACCCGAGTTTGGTGTCCTCTAGGGACCCTCGCGGTGGCTCGCAGGTGTCTGTCATCTTGTCACTTCACACGGTCATCCCTCTGAATGCTCCTGCACTGTGTCCTCACTGGATCAGGACCCACCCTCGTGGCCTTCTCTGTACACACTAATCTCTTTAAAGGCCTTGCTTCCCCAAACAGTCAAGACCTGAATCTCTTGTAGCTCCCCATGTCCCCAAGCCTTCCGAATCATGTTGTCCTGTTATCTGGTTGGTGAGGGTCCTGCTGTCCTCCCTGGGAACCTCAGGTACCTTCTCTACCATGTGTTCTCAAGGTCAAGTCCATTTTGTAGCCTTTTGTAGCATTGTTCAATGCTAAAAGTAATTGAATAATACCTGCTCCATGGAGCAACAATGGCCAACTGGAAATCAGAAGGTTAGATCAGGAATGCCGAGCCTCAGGCCCTGCCATTGGTACAAGTTATGGGGCAGGGGTTGGCACCCATATGTAGCATCTGAGTCTACCCCATGAGGGGCCCAGTGGGTTCAGTAGAGCCACAGGGGCTTTCCTGGCACAGAGGGTTGTGGTCTGGTTCTTCCTTCTTGGAAAGCTATGAACACATTTGGAGTTTCACAATAAAAGTTCTTTGTCCTTTGCATGTCTAAGAAGATAGAGAGCCTGGTGATAGGTGTGGATAAAGGTTATGTATATAGAGAGTGTTATTGCCAATGACTTGAGCCCACCTTGGATTGTCACATTCTGCAAATAAGGAGATGGTAGAATGAGATTTAGGATTGTTCTGTGTCCTATGACACAGCTAATCAATACAATGACCCTAATTCAGAGTTGTCCTTTCCAGGAAGCTCTGATTTTCTTTTCTTTCCTCTGTCTCTGAAGTCACTAAGTTCATTAGAGCCCAGACAAGTCCAAATAAATTTACCTTGTAAAAACTAACTTACAGTTTTTGCAACATGCGGTGGGCTCATACCTGTAATCCCAGCTACCTAAGAGGCTGAGATTGAGGGGATCATGGTTTGAGGCCAGCTGGGCAAAAAGAAAAAATAGTAAGACCTTTCTTAATGAAAAGCTGGACACAGAGACACACATCTGTCATTTTAGCTCTGGAGAACTCTAACACAGGTTGTCCAGGGATACATTAGGAAATAAGCGAGACTTTATTTCAAAATGACAGCAAACCTCAGGGATAGAGGCATGGGCTCAGCAGAAGAACACTTGCCTAGCAAGCGCTGATACTGGAGTTGAGACTGGAGTTCAAACCCCTGTAACTGAAAAACAAGTCCGGTTTTCAGTACATATATTTTGATGAGAACCTCCACTCATATTTCTTTCTGTTTGTGTTTTTTATTGTTATTCCTACGGAGTTGTTCAAAGGGGTTACAATTCTACAAGTCAGGTAATGAGTTTCAATGCTTCTTGGACAAGGTTGGCCCTCTGTTTGCTTTCCCCATTTCCCCCTCCTGTCTTTGCCCATGAGTTACTTGGTTCATTTTTACATAGTGTATATCAAATATCATAACTGCATTTGTTCACCTTTCCTCCCTCCATTCTTTTGATCTCCCTAAAAAGATTTAAAAAAAGAGAGCAAAAACAACAATATCACCACCACCAACTCCATGCTTCCATTTCCTGGGATTCATTTTGGTGGTGGCATTTTCAGTATTCACAACAGTGACCTCTTTGGGTATCTCCCCAAAGCATATCAGAGCCTCATAAATTGTAGATCTTGGGAATATTTTAATTCCAATGAAAAACTTGCTGATGCCCTCATAAGAACATGAACATTATACCCCAAATCCATGAAAGCCATGGAGCTTGAGCCTTCTTGATGGGGATGGGGCTGGCATTAGGCTTACGGCCCACCTCCCTGTGCTGGTGGTGGCCAGAGCTGGTCCGTGGCTCACTCACTGTGTCTCGTGTTTTCTGAGCAGGTTCATCGTGGCATCAAAGGTATGGTGAGAGATTTACATGGAAAAGGGATTCCCAATGCCATTATCTCCGTAGAAGGCGTTAACCATGACATCCGAACAGGTAACTAACTGCAAATGCATACAAACTATCTCTTACGAAGAAATATATAGTCCCTTGAAGTGTTTCTATATGAAACAATCAAGACCAGAAACATCTTACTCAGAGCTGAGTAGTATCTCCTTCCTCTGACTTCCCAAGAGATGTTTGAAAGCCAGGTTTTCAGCTAACGCATCCCGGCTCTTCTCCCTTGTTCTTGGACTTGAAGACAACTGCCTTCCAGCAGTGGTGGAGGAATAGGAGTAGAGAAAGCAGCTCTGACCCACACTGGGGTGATGGAAGAGCTCAGCAGGGCTGGAGTACAGTCAGAGACAGCAGCCAGGGGTGGCTGGAGGGGGGAGTGAAGAAGTCATTCAAGAAGGATAACTTTTCTGCTCAGTCACAGGTGAGCTGGGTGCTGGTGGCTTATGCTTCTAGATACTTGGGAGGCTGAGAGCTGAGGACGATGGGTCTAAGCCAACCAAGGCAGAAAAGTCCATGAAAATCTTATCTCTCATTACCTACCATAAGGCCAGAAGTAGAGCTGTGGCTCAAGTGGTAGTGTCAACCTTCAGTGAAAAAAGCTAAGGGACAGTTCCCAGCCCTGAATTCAAGCCCCAAGACTGGCATGCACACCCACACCCACACACCCACACACACCCACACCCACTCACACACACACACACACACACATACAGTCAAAGCACAATATCATAAATATGTAGCAGCCGCACCTTTAACAGTACATGATTCAACTTTGTTATTCCCCACAACAGCCCCATTTTCTTCCACTGTCATTAGATGTCATTAGAAATCCACAGGGAGACTCAGCTACCTCCCTTCCTGCAAGACACAGAGTAACTTGGATATTAAATCTCAACGTGGCTATTTGATTTCCATTTGAATGGAGGGTAGAAAATTCTAGAATGTTGGATAAGGGGAGGGCTAGAAGAAGACCTTGAAAAGGCAGGGCTGAAATCTTACTCCAGCTCTCTTTACAAAGGAAGGAAAGAAATTGTAAAATCCAGGACCCTATGGACCAAATTCAGTTGGCAGTACCCAAATGGCCTTTAAAATTTATGTTCATTATCTTTGAATAGTTGTGCAAATTGGCCTTATATGTGTTAGGGGTGCTCCTGGCACAGAGGACCATCCAGCAGCCCCTGGGCCACATGGCCACTTCAGGAACTCAGTGTTCTTTACCACCGCCAGTTCCCAGAGACCCTCCATTCCCGTCCTCTCCTGTCTCTCACATTCACTCTTTGTGGGAGGCAAGCTATTCTTGCTGTTCTTAACCTTTGTTTTTGTCAGTCATGGGGCTTGAACTCTGGGCCTGGGCACTGTCCCTGAGCTCTTCTGCTCAAGGTGAGCACTCTACCACTTGAGCCATAGCACCACTTCTGGTTTTCTGGTGGTTTTTATTGGAGACAAGAGTCCCATGCTCTTTCCTACCCGGGCTGGCTTTGAACCATGATCCTCAGGTCTCAGCCTCCTTAGTAGCTGGGATTACAGGCATGAGCCACCAGTGCCTGGCTGTTCTTAACCTTTTTCAGGGCAAAGCAGAAGCTCAGGAGGCTAGCTGGCTCCAGGAAGGTTAGAGAGGCACTGGGTTTGGATCTAAGTCTTTGGTTCCCCTCACCACACCTCCATGCCCATTGGGCTGAGAAGTCATGCAGGCACTCTGCAGTGCCCTTAATGCAGACCTTACTGATTTCTCTCTAGGAGATGATAGGAAAACAGGTACTCCAGCAAGTGCTAGGGCCCCTTGCATTCAGGGCTATCAGCACCTGGGATACTTTAGTTTAAAACTGGACATCACAGCCAGGTGCTGATGGCTCACGCCTATAATCCTAGCTAGTCAGGAGGCTGAGATCTTAGGATCATGGTTCAAAGCCAGCCCAGATAGGAAAGTCTATGAGACTCTTATCCACAATTAACCACCAAAGAGTCAGAAGTGGAGCTGTGGCTCCAGTGGTAGAGCACTGGCCTTGAGCATACAAGCTCAGGGACAGCATCCAGGCCCTGAGTTCAAGCTCCAGGATTGGCACATGTACGTGCACGCGCACACACACACACACACACACACACGCACACGCACAGAGCTGGGTGTGGTGGTCCTAGAGTCCGGGGCACAGCGGGTGGTTCTGACACCTGCTTCCCTCTATTTTGTGTGGACTAACAGCCATCTGCAGAAGTTGAGGTTGTTACTGTAGCGCTTCTTTCTGTCTGTACCTTCTTCCCCTGCGTGGCGGTCCCTTGGCTCCTCCCCTGTCCTTCTGGCCTTTCCTTAGATGTCATGGTGCCACCCTGTTTGTTCAGCTGTCAGCCCTGGCCACCTTGCGCACACTGCACAGCTGCCTCACCTCCTTTACCCCCCTTCTAGGAGGCCACTCAGTGGTCAAACCCTGGGCTTCTTAGCTCTGCCTCCCCTCCACCCGGCAAAGGGCAGGAATCATCCGCTGTTTGTTGAGGTTGTTATTTTCATCACAGACACAATGCCACTTAGAAGAGGTGTGTACTCAATGAATATTTATTGAATGACTATATGAGTGGATGTATGAATGAATGAAGAGATGGGTGAGTGGACATTGTATGTGTGTGGGTCCCCGGGTGGCAAAGTGAATGGCAGAGCTGTGAGGGGAGCCAAGGATCTGAGACTGCAAATCCAGAACTCCTTCCTTTGTCCCCACACTGGTTCTCCTACTTAGGGAGAAGGAACCCCTCCTCTGTACACTGTTTGTGTATATTAAAGATCCTATTTGCACAACTGATCACACTGACCTGCCGGGAAGTAGAGGCTTGGGTTGCAGGAGGAGGTGAGACGGGGATTGATCTTGGCCCAGGTATTCAGTGTCCTGCTGCCTGGCCCAGTTGTCTAAATGGATAAAAGGATTTGAACTACCACAAAACAGTAGACTGCTGTCAATCACCCCAAATGCAATCTTTGCGCTTATTTACCCATTTCCTTGCTGAGTAGTACTTTCTGAACTCTCCTACCACCTGTCTTGGATTTCACAGCCGTTGACTGTGAAGTTTTATGCAGACACTTTTGTATGTAGTAGCTCTTCACAGGCATTCATTTAAAAATCATCAATTTATTCACTCATTCATTCTTGCAACAAATGTGAACTGAGCAGCTGTAATGTGCCAGAGGCCATGGGGGGGGGGGGTTAAGAGCCACCATAAGTGCAGGACAGGATTTGTATTTTAAATAATGCTGCAGAACTCCTTTAAAAGAGCCTGGGCCACTCCTTGCACTATTCAGTGCCTGGTAGGCGATGTAAGAAAACCTGAGGGTTTTAAGCTGCGTGGGAGGTAAAAAGGCCCTGGGGCCCCCTAAGCATGCTTTGCCTAATGGGCTCTGAATTTCAAGCCCTATAATCAAGGAGACAGTTTGGATGAGCTAATGGGAAACACACAACTCTTCCGTTATTTCCCCCTATAAATAATTTCCCAGCGTGCCCTGCTGACTGATGCCCTCCTTCTTGCACACGTGGCTTCTCATTGGTTCCAGCATCTTTCGGCGTTCCACAAGAGTGCTGAATTTGCCTTCATTTCTTTCTATGGATTATATGAGCTGACAGGCTTCATTTCAGGAGGGATTTTGCACAAAGTAAACAGAAGTATTAAACGGAATTCCACACGGAGGAAGAATGCGTTTGAGACGCATCTAAATGTATTCGCCAAATACCTGGCTTGGAATTAACAGGACATCTGCCCTTGGACAGGCAGTGAGGTTCTCCTCACTGGAGCTCATCAGAGGAGTGAGTGGAGCCCACTCCCTGCCAGTCTGTCTCCATCCACAGTTAGCTGAGGATGGGCCCTGACGGTGACCTGCAGATCTGGGGTGCCATGGGCTCTCCCTGGGCTCTGGCTGCAGTTTATTTGGGCTCCAGGCCTCCTTGTCTTCCCATGTCCAAGTGTGAATACTTGGAGCTCTGAGTTTCTGGACTGTGGGCAACAGGATGGAGGTTGTGGAGGGTATGCCAGCACCAGGGCTTTCTCCTCGGTGGTCTTGCCTAGCTCTTTCCAGAAGCAAAGAATTCCACATCTTTTAGAATTGTTTTCTATATTTGTAGCCAAGAGAAGCCAGAACGAGCCACTGGCTGATGGCTGTACAAGATTGCGTTCTATGTGAGGGCACACTGTTTGCAAGTTCACCTTCATAGTGAATGGCTCTACTGTTTTTGATTGCCTCTCCATCTCTGCTTGTGTGTATAAACTCTACAGGAAGCCTTCACCCCAAACCACTTCCTGTTAAAACCATTAAGGCGGCCTCCATGGAGAAAAATATTGGCGGGTCCACATGCATTAAGAACATCGGGGTGCGGGAGCTCAGCAGGTTCCCTGCTGGCCGCGTCGGTGCTCTCCGCCTGCCCGGGCTGGTCTTGAGGAGGTCTGGCGCTATTTGTGCTCTGAGGTCTCCTGGTTTCTTTCCACAGCCAGTGACGGGGATTACTGGCGCCTGCTGAACCCAGGAGAGTACGTGGTCACTGCGAAGGCAGAAGGCTTTACCGCCTCCACCAAGACCTGCATGGTTGGCTACGACATGGGGGCCACGCGGTGTGACTTTACGCTCAGCAAGACCAACCTGGCCAGGATCAGAGAGATCATGGAGAAGTTTGGGAAGCAGCCCGTCAGCCTGCCCGCCAGACGACTGAAACGACGGGGAAGGAAGAGACGGCAGCGTGCGTGACCCTCCAGGACCCTTGCGATGCCTCCCAGACCCTGCAAAGGAAATCTACCCCAGTAGTAGCTCTGTAGAGGACCTGCTCCCTGTTTTGTCTGTAATTCAAGGAGCCCCTGGGAGCAGGTGCACATTGCTATGCAGGCCCGGAGGGTCTGTCCCCATTTATCCAAAGACCTTGGATAGAGCAGCAGAGAGCAGCTGGTGGGAGAAAGTCAACCTGGGACTCTGAGAGAGAGAGAGAGGAGGCTCCTGGCAGCCCAGGAAAGAAAACCAGCCCCACTCTATCTCCCCACCTCCCTTCCGTGACATCAAGAATTCCCCCGTGCATTGTGCATTTGCAGTTGGCACGGCTGACATTGCAGACCCCTGCTGACCCTGTGTTGCCATTTGAGAAGCTCTCTATCCCCTGGCCTGGGGACATGCCGGGCTGCTACAAACACATTTGTCGTTCTGTTGACAATAGAGGCTTTACTAAGTGAGCATCAGCGTGCCCCATGAATCAGCTTAGTTTTCTTTTTTGTAACAAAGGTCATGTCCATCCTAAGGGAGAGTGCAGAGATAATTTGAGAGGGATTATTGGCTAGCGGGCCTCATGGGGCTTGTTGCGTGCAACTCCAGGAACCTTGCTTCCCCTTCTCCCACCCCACCCCCACAACTCCCTGCTGGTCCAGTCATCCCAGAGGCTCTGCAATTGGGAGAGCCTAGTGTGTCAGCATTCCGAAGGGCCAGGCAAGTGAGCCTGATCTCCTCTGAGGCTGGCTAGGACTTGGAAAGTGAGAGGAGGAGGCTGACCTGAGCAGGGCTTGTCTTGTGGGTGTGGGCTGCCCCTCCAAGGTCTCCTCCGAGGTAGCCCTGCTTGGCTCTTTTCAGAAACAAAGAATCCCACACGTTTTCGAGTTTTTCTTCTGCATTTGTAGCTAAGAGAAGTCAGAAAGCCACACACTGATGGCTTTTCATGCAATAACCCACCCTCCCAAGATGGTGGAGGGGAGTTTTCTGATGTGTAGAATGCCAGTTCTCCCAAGTTAGGCAACAAATATTGGGTGAAAAACGCTTAGGATTGTCTTGTAGAGCACTGGTTTGGGAAGGGTTCATGACTTAATCATCAATCTACGGAAACAGTTTGTATCTCACTTTTTCTTCATGTGGCTGCCTCCATGACTCGAAAAGAGCGAAAAAGAAAATAAAGAAAGCAAATGGTAGTGATCCTCTGGTGTGGTTTTTCTGGGTTCACTGACAGCCACCCGGATGCCAACTCTACTACCTCTCTGAGGTCGGTCACGCTAGAGGAGACCTCTGCCTACGGTGGCCATCCCATAAAGGGCCCCCATAAAGGTGTCCCCATAAAGGGCATATCAGCCCTGATGCCAGCTGCTTAGAACCTTTCCTGCCTCTTGCCAGGGAGACTCATGTGTTGGCCCCACAGGTGCCTCTAAAGACAGTAGGGAGCATCTTTCCAGAAAATGTCCTCAGACAACTTGCAGACAGTCTGCATTGGGGTGAGCAGGCTTTTCTGATAAAGGGTCAAGTTGTCAGTGTTTCCAGGCGCTGCACAGTCTGGTCATAACTCTCCCTGTTGCCACTGGGTGTAAAAGCAGGCATGTGCATACGTAAGTGGGGAGGGTATAGTTTTGTATACCAAAAAAAAGTCTTGCTGGACATAGTCCCAGGCTACTGTAAACTCTGTCCAGTAGACCTCTTTGAGATGATGGAAATGTTCTGTTGTGGGCAGTCAAATTCAGGATTCTGTGCAGGCCCCAGTCGCACTGACTTCGACTCCCTCCATGTGAAAGGTTGCTGAGGGGGCTACATGATACAGAAACCCAATGCAAAGTTGTTTGGCAATCACTGAGCAATTTCTGTAAGTTCTGGGGCCCAGTCTTTTACAGGAAAGCCCAGGATTTACTCCACCATTGTCCTACATCTGTCACACATGCACTATTAAAGTGTCATTGTGATGGAGTGTGGTGGTGCTGGATTGAAATGGTATTTTGTGTGGCAGGGCCACAAAAATAGTTTTCGAGATTTGTAGGTTCCAATTTGTTCTGGGTGGCCACCACTGTGTCTAGAGAAGCTTGAGATTCGGTCACACTTGGTATTGGTGTCCTCATGTTCCCGGGGTCAGTCACAGTGCTGAGGGTAGCCCTCGCCATCTAGCAAGCTTGGCCAGGAAGCAGCAGAGTTGGTTCCATGCTGCTGAGCTCGGGGTACCAGGGCAACCTCTCCCGAGATTGTGGAACTTTTCCTCCTGCCTCTTATCCCTTACCTCCTAACACAGCCTCAAGTTCCTCACTGAGGCACAGGAAATCCAGAGAAAATCAGGAGGAAGAGAGAAGAGTTGGAACATACAGGTCTGTATCTTTCAGTACCTTCTAGTGTGTGTAGAGAATAGGAGCTCTTTCAAACCTGAGAGTCTCTCAAAGCCTGAGGTCACCTCCAAGATCCATGACTATAGGGATGGTAGCCCAGGCTAACTGGTGTGTCAGAAGTAACTGCTTGGAGCTTGATGTGAAAGACACTAAGGTTCTTAAGAGGAATGCATGCTGCAATTGACTAGTTATATCTGTTGTGGGTATGGGAAATGGCAGTGACAACAATGCCTGAACTTTCTAGCTTTGGTCTGTAGTCCAATCTCTCTGACCTTGGAGTCAGAGAGTCTGCATCCAGAGCTGTAGGCCCAATTCATATTCCAGTGTCTGTTATCATAGTGTCTCTTTCCACTTCCCTCCTTGAAGGCAGTAATTAGGTCCTGAGCGGCCTGAGGAAGGTACAACCCAACTTTTTCAGGAGCAGTTCATTTCCCAGGCAGCAAGAAGCACTGGGGACTCCTTCCAGAAACCAGAGGAGGAAGGATGGAGCCCTAGATATGATAAGCCTGTCTGGGAACTGACTAAATATGCAGTAAGCCCTGAAGAAGCTCAGAAGTCTGAGTCTAGGTGCTTTCTTTGTATCAGAGTTCCTAATCAGCTGCCCTGCTTGCTTGGCCTTGTTTTAAGTTTCTTTTGAGGCTGGGTGTTGGTGACTCATGCTTGTAATCTTAGCTACTCAGAAGGCTGAGATATGAGGCTCACAACTCAAAACCAACCAAGGCAGGAACATCCATGAGACTCTTACCTCCAGCCTGTAGTGACTGCTGAGGGAACAATAGGGACAATACAGTTCTACCCTGTAGTCTGCAGAAACCAGTTGGCACCTTCCTTAAGTCTCCTTGTAAGTACAGATAGTGCCGCGCTTCTAATTTCTGGACAATGAAATGTCAATAAGAATTCTAGGAACCCCCATCCAAAAAAGTATCTTTTTCCTCCTTTCTTCTTCTGTCAGCCTGAAACAAAGACATGAGAATGGTGCCAAAGCACAGACATCTTTGATAGTGACTTTAAAGATAGAAACTAAGCATTGACGAGGGCAGGACCCTGGGGCTTGGGGCCACCAGAGTGCCCACCAGAGAGTACCTCTCTGGATGCTTCCATTCTACTCTATTTCAATTTCAGTTACTAAGGTTCTGTTATGAACAGCCAAACCTGTTTCCTAACGGATGCCAGCTCAAACCACAGCGCCTGATAGAAACCCCAGCATGTCCAACCTGTAAGCAACTCTGAGCATGGCAATTTAGTCCTCTCTCCTCAGAGTTCTGGAAACCTGAAGCCCAAATGCTGAGCTGAGCTGTGACTGACAAGAGCAGTTCACTGAAGTATTTGCTACTCTGATTTTCCTTCCCAGGGCAGGCAGTCACCCTGCCCTTTCCCCTTCTCAATCACTTCCATCTCTTGCCTTTCTCATGCGGATGCTGGCCTTTGTCTCATAGCTCATCAATCTGTTAAGGATTCTGATGTCGATTTTTGTATTTCAGCTCGCTGCCCTTGCTGGAGCATTGCGTTCCCCTGCACTTACGCATTTGGGTATGTAAGTTCAGCCTTTTGAACCCACACCACTGGCCTAGATGAGTTTGTATCCACAGAAGAGAGAAACATGGCATTTTTAAACATTGCTTTATTCCCTCTAGTTGACCAGTTAATCAAAGAATTTTACAAAGACGTTTCTTCTGAAGAACAAAACAGTAATGAGCTTCCAAGACTGGCTGCTTGCTTGATTACTTCATTAAGGGTGAAATGATCTGTGTCCTCCTGAAGACCTAATGAAGAAAGACATCTTGTTTGTGAAAGGGTAGGTTTTGGGTCAGAGATAGAGGGGGCGGGGGGCAGATATACACACAGGGGATGGCCAGAGCAGATAATCAAATACAATTCTGCCCTAAAATCTGCAACAACCAGCCTGAAAGCCAGATCAGCATGCACAGTAACCACCCCAGAAAGCCAACTGCATATCTGAACCACAGGAAGCCATACTTGTAGGAAGCCAGACCACTGACTCTAGTGCATGCATCCCAGAGGCCAAACAGCTGCCTCTGTCTGCAAAGTGCATCCAACACAGCCAGGATTTGAATACTGACAGCTTCCCTAGACCTTGTCCCTGATTCTAACTGAAGACAAATCAACAACAGTCAAATTCTTCACTAACCAATAGCAGAGGAGGCTTTGCTTCCGTATAGACTACCTACATCTTCTTATGTGGCCACCTGCTGCCTGCACTTTGGTCTACATTCCAGGAGGTAAAGCTGGAGATGGTGATGGTAACCGGATGTCACACTAACTAGGGCTGCTCTGTATTGGAACTGTGCAGGCCTTTGCCCTACGTAGACCCCCTTTAGACAGTAGAGATAAACTGCACACATCTGAATGTTTGGTTAATATCCCCAGTCTCTGGATGGTAGTATACGCATCCTTCCATGCAGAGGAGCCTTCTTCTAGGTGTCCCAACTTTGGATCTGCTCTTCTTCCACCTGCGGGGGGGGGGGGCTTTGGTTTTCAGAGCCATTGTCTGGTTCAGGGTGTGTCACATAAGAGCATCCCAGAGCTGCTGGGACAGCCAGGGTTCTAGAGCAGCCAGGTGAGTGCTGCTGTGCTTCATGGTTGTCAAGGCAGAGATACAGGAATGACAGGAGTCTTTCCTGCTGACCATTAGGGCCATACCCTCTCTACAGACTGGAGGCGGAATTGTCACGGAGAATGATTGGAACAGCAGTCATGTCCACTTCAGAAAATACAGAACCAATAAAGGCCTCTATGATCACCAGCTATCCCATCCCAGGTGGTGGAAATTTAAGAAGCCCCATGCCGTGTAAGGAGAGAATTCAAGTAGGAGCCTACTGGGCCCAAGAGTGAGGCAGAGCAGCAACTCCAGTCTTTCAGATATAGGAATCTGACTCAGCAGGAAAACACAGGTTCTGACTCATCAGGTACCAGCTCAGCCCTTAAGAGGAGGTGGCTGAGCTAGAAAAGGGAAAGCAGGAGCAGACCCATACCCTGAGCAGTCTGAAGTACCCACTTCAGACCTGGGATCTGTTAGAACAGAGTTGTGAAGTCTTCCAGTACACATATTCCAGCTGTGCAACATCTGTGAAACGGGCATTCTTGTACCTTCCTTCAGGAAGCTTCTCAAAGCAGTGTCACCCAAGCCTGAAATGCAAATGCATGCTTCTTGTAAAATGAGCTCTGGTGGCAAAAACCTGCTGCTTGTCTGCCGAGGTCCCACTCTAACACCTGGCTTCCAGGCTCCAGTGCAGGAGCCTCACCCTGTGGGAGCCATGGGGTCCAGGATCTCCTCAGCATAGGCCACACAGACAATTTCAAGAAATGCAAAGGGAATCAGAGTGCTGAGATGTAACAGGATCATTCCAGAGAGGGGCACTTTATTATAAAACATGTATATCCAACAGTTTTAGTGGGTGGAGTGGAAAAATATCTTTCTTCTCACTAAAGGAAGATACATAAGCTGGAAAAAGAAGCCACTGCAGAACAAGCCAGAGGTTTTGCTGCAAAGTTATCTGTGGCAAGTCTGATATCTTGTGATTGCATCCCAGGCTTGTCCCACACAGCCCCAGGAGGCAGCGTGACATGGAGAAGATAGAAGCCATTATCTCACCAATGGAGAAATAAGGCTGGCTGGGAGCTTGTCTATGCTATTTTCCACCTCTGAGAAGGAGAAATGCTGAGAACCTAGTATTGGTATGTGGGGAGTTGGTGAGATGAGCCTTAAGAAAGAAAGATGTCCACACTGGAATTTTTTTTAATTTTATTTTATTGTAAAGATGCTGTTTAGAGGGGTTACAGTTACATGAGTAAAGCAACGAATACATTACTTGTCAAT